TTTTTAAAAAGATTAGTCAGTTATTTTTTAGAATGTTCTCATGACTTTTTCTGACTTGTAACAATTTCCAAGATTATTCTATTTCAGAGGATTTCTTTGTCTTTATCTTTCAATATATGATTTTTACTGAATATTAATTTGTTTTAATATTTGTAATTTTCAGTTGTTCTTTCCTCCCCTTAGACTATTTCCTCTTTTAGGATCCTGGTCTTGTTTCCTGGATATAATATTTTTCTGATGATACTATAATTTCTTGGAAGTATTTTTATGCTCCCTGTTGTCTCTGTTTTTTGTGATTCCTTTTCCTGATTCTTACATATTGGAGGTTTTTTTACTTTCTCATGTTGAAGGTTTTTCTCTGTTGAGAAAAATCTGTTGATTTTTGTCCATTCATATATTAAGAGTGAAGTCCTAAAAGCTGATTGGAGGCCCCAAGTGTGTGTTTGAGTCTTGTCAGTTAAAGGCTGTTTCTTTAGGAACCCCCAAATGTCAGTATCTGTGGCTCTTTTTTTCTGGCATGGTTCATTTTTTGCTGAGATGTATCCTTTATTCTTTGCTAGACAGTAGAACTTGGCCGCAAACGTCCGTGTCTGAGCAGAAGAAACAGACTGGGTGTCTCATTTTCAGTTTCAGACTTCATTCCTCTCGATATCTCCCTCTTACTCTGATCTATGTCTAGTGTTGCCACATCTAGAACTCCTTTGGTTTATCTCTCCAGAGGTGACATTTCCTGTTTCCTGTGGAGGTAAAAGGAGTAGGCTGATGATATCAGGTGGAGTGGGGATGTGGGGATCTGTCCACTTATTAAACAAATTTTCAAACAAATCTCCCTTTTCAGCACTACATTCCTCCCATCTCCATTTCTCTAACTTCTTGAGTCTTCCCAGGGTTTCTCAGGGTGACCTGCCTTGCTTCTCCTTGGTTTCTCCTTCTCCAACCACTTTGGCTTGACCTTCTTTGCGTCTGCTAAATCCTCCATTTTCTATTTTCACGCATTGCAGTTTGGGGTGACTACCAGTTCAATCAAAATGAAATCTGTCTTTTCCTTTTCTTCCTTGTTATTATTTTTTAAATTTTTTTAACGTTTATTTATTTATTTATTTATTTATTTTTCAACGTTTATTTATTTTTGGGACAGAGAGAGACAGAGCATGAACGGGGGAGGGGCAGAGAGAGAGGGAGACACAGAATCGGAAACAGGCTGCAGGCTCTGAGCCATCAGCCCAGAGCCTGACATGGGGCTCAAACTCACGGACCGCGAGATCGTGACCTGGCTGAAGTCGGACGCTTAACCGACTGCGCCACCCAGGTGCCCCACGTTTATTTATTTTTGAGACAGAGAGAGACAGAGCATGAACGGGGGAGGGTCAGAGAGAGAGGGAGACACAGAATCTGAAACAGGCTCCAGGCTCTGAGCCATCAGCACAGAGCCCAACGCGGGGCTTGAACTCAAGAACCGCGAGATCATGACCTGAGCCGAAGTCGGCTGCTTAACCGACTGAGCCACCCAGGCGCCCCTCTTCCTTGTTATTTTTGAGAGAAGTGATAGGGGAAGATCTCTGCTATCTTGAATTGAAAAGCCTTCACTGTTTTTTAGTTCTTCAAGTGCCTTGAATTCTTGACTGCCTTTGGGCTTTTGCATGTGGTGTACTGGTTCTCTGACACATTCCTTTTCCCTCCCTCCTCTTCTCTCTTGGCCAATTCCAAGTAATCTTGTATTTATTTATTTTTATTTGTGAGAGGAGAGAGAGAGTGAGAGAGACAGTGTGTGAACAGGGGAGGGGCAGAGAGAGAGGGAGACAGAATCCAAAGCAGGCTCTAGGCTCTGAGCTGTGAGCACAGAGCCCAACACGGGGCTCCAATCCACAAGTTGGAAGGTCATGACCCGAGCTGAAGTCGGACACCCAACTGACTGAGCCACCCAGGCGCCCCACCCCCACCCCACGTCATCTTTTAGATCCCGGCTTAAACATCATTCTTAGATGAGTCCTGTCTGACCCCCCCAGACTAGGTTAGGTCCACTCCCTATAGTATATTCTCACAATACCTACCTTGATTCTAATTAAGTATATATGTCTGCCTCCCCTGCTAGATTGTTACCTCCACAAGGGAAGGGACCACTTCTGTCTTGCTGACTGCTATATCCCCTGTGTCTAGTGCAATACTTAGCATTTAGTAGGGGATTAATATATATATTTTTCATTGTTAATCAACATACATTACTCATTATAAAAATTTGTGGCTAGGGGCACGTGGCTGGCTCAGTCAGTAGAGCATGCAACTCTTGATCTTGAGGTTGTGAGTTCAAGCCCCAAGTTGGGTGTAGAGATTACTTAAAAAAAAAAAAAAAAAAAAAGATTTGTAGCTGGATTCACAGTTACTACCAACCAAGAAGTAGTTATTTAGAGTTTAACGATCTTAGTTTTTATGATTGTTCAATTATTGTTACAGAAATACTATAATATGGACTCTTGTCCATCTCCAAACTTATTTTACAATGAACACTTTTAAAATTATAATGTACTAGGGGTGCCTGAGTGGCTCAGTTGGTGAGCATCCGACTTCAGCTCATGGTTCGTGAGTTCGAGCCCCACATTTGGCCCTCTGTTGTCAGCGAAGAGCCCGCTTAGAATCTTCTGTCTCCCTCTCTCTCTGCCCATTCCTCTCTCTCTCGAAAATAAATAAACATTACAACAATAAAAAAAGTAAAATTAAAATGTACTGATAGTAATGTGCACTCAGATCAGCATAGTGTATGAGTTTCTGCTGTTATAAATGACCAGACACTGAGTGACCAAAACACAAATTTATTATTACCTTATAGTGCTGGAGGTCAGAAATCTAAAATGGGTTGGCAAGGCTGCATTCCTTCTGGAGGCTCTAGGGGAGAATCATTTTTCTTGCCTTTTTTAGTTTCCAGAGGCTTCCTCTATTCGTAGGTTCATAGAATCTTTCTCATATCATTCTGACCTCTGCTTCCATCGTCGTACCTCCTTCTCTGACTCTGACCTTTCTGATTCCCTCTTATAAGGACCCATAGGATTAGGTTTTACCCAGATAATCCATGATAATTAGGTATTTCTCAACAGCTTTAATTTAACCACATCAGCAAAATCTATTTTGCTGTATAAGGTGAAATATCTACAGGTTCTGGGGATTATGATGTGAACATCTTTGGGAGACCATTATTCAGCTTACCATACATAGGCAGCAAAATGTAAATCCTGGGGCAGCTGGGTGGAGCATCTGACTCTTGATTTCAGCTCAGTTCATGATCTCAGGCTGGTCATGATCCCATGATCTCGTGGGATGGAGTCCCACTTTGGGCTTAAGATTCTCTCTCTCCCCCTCTGCCCCTCTCCCCTGCTCATGCTCTCTCTCTCTCTCTAAAATAAAATAAAAATGAGTAAATCCATACATGAATTACTTGCTGTAAGAAATGATAAAAACTTCACTCATACCTATTTTTTAGGATTTTATTTATTTTCATTTTTTATTAAAATTTTAAAATGTGTATTTATGTATTTATTTTTAATTTTTTTTTAATGTTTACTTATTTTTCAGAGAGAGAGAGAGAGAACACAAGCAAGGGAAGGGCAGAGAGAGAGGGAGACACAGAATCAGAAGCAGGCTCCGGGCTCTGAGCTGTCAGCACAGACCCACGAACCGCGAGATTGTGACCTGAGCCGAAGTCAGATAGATGCTCAACCGACTAAGCCACCCAGGCGCCCCCATTTATTTTTAATTTTTTAAAAGTTTATTTATTTTTGAAGGAGAGAGAGAGACAGCGTGAGCAGGGGAGAAGCAGAGAGAGAGGGAGACACAGAATCCAAGGCAGGCTCCAGGCTCTGAGCTGTCAGCACAGAGCGCGGGGCTCAAACTCATGAACCATGAGATCATGACCTGAGCTGAAGTCAGACATTTAACTGACTGAGCCACCCAGGCACCCCCATTTTTTAATTTAAATTCTAGTCTCATATGTACTTTAAACTTCAAGTCAGAACAATTTCCAAAGTAGATAAAATAATTTATTGAGTGAAAAATATCATAAATGCATATTGAAATAATAAGACAAGCATAAACCAATGATTATTAAATAGACAACATACATCAGATCAGTAGCTGCTTTGCTTCCATGTGCAAATCCATTATCATGCTTTCATGAGTCATGGGATTTGCTGGTGTTTTCAGGTAGGCACACTATTTCCTAAAGGCAATTATCTAATTATCTAATTATAAAAGAGCATAGTGCTTTTTTTATATATATTTAAAAGTATATTTTGGATGAAAAATATAATTACTGTGGATTATTTTTCAATAAGTAACCTCTCAACATCCTGCAGAATTGTTTGGGAAAAATGATAATGAAAACCTATTTGGGGAAAATCAATTCCAACATTCTTTTTTTTTTTAAATGTTTATTTTTGAGAGAGAGAGAGAGAGAGAGAGCGTGCGCAAGCAGGGGAGAGGCAGAAAGTAGGAGTCACAGAATCTGAAGTAGGCTCCAGGCTCTGAGCTGTCGGCACAGAACCTGATGCAGGGCTCGAACCCACAGACTGTGGATTGTGAGATCATGACCTGAGCCGAAGTCAGATGCTTAACTGACTGAACCACCCAGGCGCCCCTCAATTCCAACACTCTTGATTGTTTACTTTATTTTATTTTGATTGTTTATTTTATTTGAATTTTTTTTTTGAATTTTTTTTTTTTTAACATTTATTTATTTTTGAGACAGAGAGAGACAGAGCTTGAACAGGGGAGGGGCAGAGAGAGAGGGAGACACAGAATCTGAAACAGGCTCCAGGCTCTGAGCTGTCAGCACAGAGCCTGACGCGGGGCTCGAACTCACAGACCGTGAGATCATGACCTGAGCCGAAGTCGGACGCTTAACCGACTGAGCCACCCAGGCGCCCCTGATTGTTTATTTTAAAAGGTCACGATTACATATTTTATTCTGAGTTCTCTAGCAATGTCATACGAATACATAGTACAAAATGACAATGTCGCAATGGACTGATGGGTAAGGCTATCTGGCTCTTTTCAGATAAGAACCTCACTCTGTATCTTGACTGTCAACTTCGACTAATTACTAATTTAATAATTTTATTCAGGGCTGATTTGGCCGTGATGCATTACCTGGAGAGCATGCCCTTTTTCCAATGTAAAGTTTACTTGAGAAGTCAAATTAGGATCAGAAGTTTGCCTGATGAATATAGTTAAAATGTCAAGCTGTTCAAATAGGTGAAGGGGATGAAGACGTACAAACTTTCAGTTATAAAATAAATAAGTCACAGAGATTTAAAAAATACTGTCCAACTGCCCAAGATACCAAAAAGTGCCCAGGCACTTACAACCCTTCAACCCATAGCTCCCTCTTCCGTAACCTGGCCCAAATTACAAAAATCAAAATATTCAAGCAGCATTCTGCACTGGAAAATGTAGTACATTTGAAAACTGAGTCAGAATTCTTCTTGATGATTCCCACCCGCTCTTGGTTTGCATAGCTCGGAAAGCTGCCTATTGCTTTACTTTCAGTCATTTCTTTTTAGTTCTTGATTTTTTGCCTAAAACTGCAATGCAGCCACTAGCCACATGTAGCTCCTGAGCACCGGAAATGTGGCTAGTCTGAGTTGAGATGTATTGTAAGTGTCAAATATATACTGGATTTTGGAGACGTACATTAACAAGAATGTAAGATATTTCTTTAATAATTTCGTGTATTTGGGGCGCCTGGGTGGCGCAGTCGGTTAAGCCTCTGACTTCAGCCAGGTCACGATCTCGCGGTCCGGGAGTTCGAGCCCCGCGTCAGGCTCTGGGCTGATGGCTCAGAGCCTGGAGCCTGTTTCAGATTCTGTGTCTCCCTCTCTCTCTGTCCCTCCCCCCGTTCATGCTCTGTCTTTCTCTGTCCCAAAAATAAATAAACGTTGAAAAAAAGTTTAAAAATAAAAAAAAATAAAAAAAAATTTGTGTATTGATCACCTGTTGGAATGATAACATTTGGATTTATTGGGGGATATATTTGGTTAAAAAATATATCATTAAAATCAATTTCACATGTTTCTTTTTACTTTAGTGTCGCTGCTAGAAACCTTAAAATTACATATGTGGTTCACATCTTTTACTGGATAGCACTGATCTAAGGCTCTTGAAGGCCTCTCCTGTTAACTTTCTTTGGTTGTTCTGTATTGTCTGGCTTCTCTTAACCATTCCTTCCCTTTCCCGTAACTGCTTAGATTTGGAAGGTAAAATAAAAAAACTAGAAAGTGAAACTCTGTGGCCAACCTTTAAGTCAAGAGAATTAAGTGTACTGGTAAACAATGAAAATCTCAGTTCAATTCTTCAATATATTGGATTGGTGCTACAATACTGGAAAAAAGGGGGTGGGGGGTGGAGAATAGTCTTCATTAGTGTCTGTAGGGACGGACTACATGTATATGGAGAATTAAAGAGAATACAAAATCACACACATACAAGGTAGTAGGACAAAATGTATTTCATCTCCAATCCTCCCCATCTCTAGGTTTTTAATCTATTTTCTTTTGGCTACACTAATTTGTCTCCCTTTATCTATGCATACTAATTTAGACTGCTCTCTTGGTAGAATGTGGCTGTTGAAAAGATGAAGGAAAACTGGAGATGAGAATGTGGGGTGGTGTTAGATCTAAAGACGAACAACATAGAAAGATGTTTATCTAAGTTGAAAAAGACCTTAATTACCCTGTTCCATTTTCCACTCAAAACCATAACCCTTTTATGCATAGAATAAAGGCTGCTTGTAATGTTGGAACATTAATATTCATCAAACATACTGAATATATACGGATGGGGGAAATTCTCTGAAGATATATTTTTCAACAGAGAAAAACATGATGCCATTGTTTGTGAACCTAAAGAACTTCTGAATCCCTCTCCCAAAGTAACAAATTGTTGCAAATCCCTGTGGTGAAATACAGTTTTCAGAAGGAGTACATGACCCGACTTGTTAGCTCCCAGCCAGTTTCAGCCATGTCAAGAAGCCCAGGTAAGATACTACTTGCCTTAAGCTGAGATAAATATTTTTCTTGGTGTTGAGGACATAAAATTGGACATTAAATAGATTACTTAAACATTAATTGTGAGAAGATAGTGGTAAATCTATTCATCAATATTCTTAGGTGGTAAAAATCTAAAACTGACTTTGCTTCATGGTATTAAATCTCTTAGTTTCTATTAGTTCTGAATTGTTGATGTGACAACTCATGAAGATGATCGCAAATTAACTAAAACAGATCCAATGTGTCCTTTAACGAAAACATGTCTGTAACTTGACCCGGCAATGTTAAGCAGGGAAAATTCAGTTTCGATTCCTCTTTGATTTTGCCGATGTAGGCAAGAACATGAAAGAAAGATAAACTTGCATTTTTGTTTTGCAAAAATTTGCATGATTCCTAGATGCCCTTGAATGTTGGAAAATTAAAGTTTTATATTTTGAGGAGCATTAGAGAGTGTTGGGGTTAAGTTTATGGGGTTTTAGACTTTTAGATTAAAAATATGCTAGCCATGGGCCCCTGGGTGGCTCGGTGGGTTAAGCGTGCTACTTCAGCTTAGGTTATGATCTCATTGTTGTGAGTTCCAGCCCCGCGTCCAGCTCTGTGCTGACAGCTCAGAGCCTGGAACCTGCTTCGGATTCTGTGTCTCCCACTCTCTGCCCCTCCCCCGCTTGCACTCTGTCTCTCTCTCTCAAAAATAAATAAACATTAAAAAAAAAAAAAAAAAAAAGAATATGCCAGACACCCGAAAGGAAGAATTAAAGCAAATCTCAAACTACTATCCAGTTTCAAAAGAATTATATGCCACTGAGAAGGTGGACATTTCAGGCTGATAGTCTCCAGCCACCATATCAGACATGGTATCTGTTTTCCAGGAAGAACTAAATTGACTAAAATATTGAATTTTGATTTGTGCAGATGTCAACAATAATTTTTCAGAGCCTGAGATTCTGTCACCTGGGAATACCTTCTGACACGTATCTTTTGTTTTTTTTAAAATTGAGATGTAATCCATACACCATAAAATTCAACCTTTTAAAGGGCACAATCCAGTGGTTTTTAGCATATTCCTAAAGTTGTGCAATCGTTATCACTGTTCTGGAACGTATATTTTACTGTAAACTTTTCTCGGTATGTTCTCACACTTCGCTATGCCACTTGATCCTCGCAGATTTCCTCCTCAAGCACCTTCAGAGGTGCCGCGTGGGCGGTTGCCACATTTACCCAAGATGTTTTCCTCATTAGTTTCACCTCGAAAGCATAAGGAGGCTGAATTAATAAAGCTACTAAGTTTGATTTCTAGAGTTAACAGCCAACAACCTAATCTACGTGTTTGTTTCCGTGCCTAGAACTCTCATTTTATTATGACTGTGAAATCTTATTTGTGACAAGTATTGTAGCCTGGTGGGCCACCGGTGTGCGTCCAAGGACTGCCAAACAATAGGAGACAAGGGGTCGCTCAGGGTGAGGTGGCAGCAGGCCCAAGCCTCCCAGGTCCTTTCCGCTCGTTCCCTGGCCCAGGAGCCAGCAGCGCGTTTCTCCCCCAAACGCTGAAGCGTTTAGAGAAGGGGGGGGTGCAGGCTGAAGGTGGCGGTGTAAGAGGGACACGGAGGTGTCAGTACGGCGTCAAGAACGCCAAGCCGCAGGGTAATCGGAGGTGCCCGGCAGGGTGTTCCGGGCGCGCTGTCTCTTGGTCACACGCTCTGGTCGGTCGCCGTGAGCGAACAAGGCGCGCCGGTGCCCGCGCGGGAGACCGCTTCTGGCCGCCGCGCGCGCGCGCCATGTGCGCCCCTCATTGGCCACAGCGGGACCACGTGACCCCTGCCGCCAAAACCGCCGGCCGGGCGCGCGCCTTCCCGCCAGAGAAGGGGCGGGTGCAGCGCCGCGGGTGGTCGGTCTCGCCAAGGTGGAGGGAAGGTCGCTCGGAGGGTTTGGGGAAGTTGTCTTAAAAAAAAAAAAAAAAAAAAAAAAAAAAAAAAGGGGTGGGGGGCGCCTGAGTGGCTCAGTCGGTTAAGCGTCCGACTTCAGCTCAGGTCATGATCTCACACTCTGTGAGTTTGAGCCCCGCGTCGGGCTCTGTGCTGACAGCTCAGAGCCTGGAGCCTGCTTCAGATTCTGTGTCTCCCTCTCTCTCTGCCCCTCCCCTGCTCATGCTCTGTCTCTGTCTCAAAAATAAATAAAAACATTAAAAAAATTTTTAAAAAAGTCTTAAGTACTGCCCAGCGTAAAACTCCTTCTGAGGAAGCTGATTATTGAAAAGTCCCGTTATCCCCTCAGTGGCTTTTGTGCCAGGCTGCGACCCAGACTGGAAATGGAAATCACCAGTCATTATTCAGTGACTCGTTGAAGCCAAAATTTGTCTCTGTTACTTTAGGGAAATAAACACGGATGAACACGTAGCTTTTTGGAGAAAGAAAACATAATTTTTGTAGGGGAAACTTAAAGCTGTTTTTTCTTAGGAAAGTTGAGAGGAATGGGTAGGCTCTTGGGAATTCCAGAACAACCACCCTGATAGGGTCATTTCAGGGAAATGAGAAACTCTTGGGAGAACAAAAGTTAGTAAAAGCAAAAAGAGGCCTTTCCCACTTCTAAAAATGTGATAATTATTGGTGGGAAAGGGCAGAATTATGTACACATGTGTGCATTATGTATGTATGTATGTATGTATGTATGTAAGTAGTATAAATGGGATATACTGATTGTAGAAGTCAGTAGAATCCAGATATTCAGCCTCTTTTTTCCCTTTGAGAGTGCTTGGATGCTCATTTTTGCCCCTCTCTTTTTCTTCCAAGGCTCATCAACTCTCCCCCTCTTCCTCCTGATGGACGCATTTTAGTTTTTTATTCATTAAAAAAAATACTAGGGCCTATTCTATTTGACACTGTGCTAGATACTGGGGTGACACTGGTGAACAAAAGCATGAACAGCCCCTTCCTTCCTGGAACATACAGTCTGGTAATGGAGGCAGATAGTAGTCAATTAAACATACTAATGGAGGCGCTTGGGTGGCTCAGTGGGTTGAGCGTCCGATTTCAGCTCAGGTCATGATCTCCCGGTGTGAGTTAGAGCTGCACACCAGGCTCTGTGCTGACAGCCTGGAGCCTGGGGCCTGCTTCAGATTCTGTGTCTCCCTGTCTCTCTCTGCCCCTCCCCTGTTCTCTCCTCTCTCTCAAAAATAAATAAACATTAAAAAAAAAAAAAAACCCATACTAATGTTAAATACAATGTGCTAAGGGCTGAGAAGAGGTCCAGATGCTATAATGGGGCTTCAACCCGGCAGGGAGATTAGAGAAGGCTTTCCTCAAGATGTACGCCTGGACTGAGACCTGAAGGAGTTAAGGGCGGTGGGAGTTGCAGGCAGAGGGAGAAGCTTGGGCAAGGGAGAGCTGATAGCCTCTCCCCTTCCAATGACTGCCCATCTCATTCATTTCCACTACACATAAATTAATCTTGCCTCTTAGTTATCAGAGACACTTCTTTTTTCTTTCAATTGTTAAATTCTTGGGGATTAACTCATAATCTATAATTATTATTATAGACAATGTGTGTAAAATAGCTAAGTATATTAACATACTCATCTATTAGGCATTATCATCTCTTGTTTCATATAACAATAAAATTAAAAAAACTGTAGGTATGCAAAGTGGTGAGAGATCGTATTATTTTGGAAAATTCAAAAAAAGACATCTTGAGAAAGTAAATTTTGAGATGTGATTCAAAGGTAAGATTTGGTCAAGCAGTGTAAGAAGTCTGGACAGATAAGTTGAGATATATTCTAAGAGCCTTGAAAACAAGTCCAAAGAGTTTATGGAAACTAAATAGAAATGTTCTATCTAACTTTCAAGGACTTTTCTGAGATATTTTTTTCCCTTCCAATGTTCACCTTGGAAAATTTCAAATCTACAAAAAAAGTTGTGCAAATAAGCCTATTGTTACTCATATACCCTTTGCATGAATTTATCATTAGAAAAAAATTTTAATGCTTATTTATTTTTGAGAGAGAGATCTTCAGAGAGAGAGGGAGACACAGAATCTGAGACACAGGCTCCAGGCTCAAAGCTGTCAACGCAGAGCCCAATGTGGGGCTGAAACCCACAAACAGTGAGATCATGACCTGAGCTAAAGTTGGACGCTTAACCGACTGAGCCACCCAGGCGCCCCTGGATTTATCAGTTTTTGGGGGGACACGTTTGCTTTATCTTTTTATCTCTCTCCATACTCATATACACACATATGGATGCATGTGCACATGTTTTTCTCTGCTACGAAGAAAGTTATGAGATAAAGTTATGAGATACTAGTTTCATCTCTAAATAATTCCATCCTAAATAATTTGTCTCCTAAGAACAAAGATTATTTTTTGCATAACCACAATACAGTTATGACACTTCTAAGATGCGTTTTAAATTAACTTTTGAGTATTTGTGTTAATACATTAAAAATAAATGAGTTACAAATTTTAAATGGCTTGCAACAGTGGCTGACACGCCAAGTGCTATATAAGTGCTTAAAAAAATATTTTCATGGTTGGAAAACTAAAGAATATGAAAAGGCATATGGTGAAAAGTCTTTTTTGTATTCTTGTTCACCGTCTGTTCAAAATCCCACTCTGAACACTCCTTATTCTAGTCAACCATTGTTCTTGTTTCTTGGGCATTCTTTTAGAGGTTCTTTATGCAAATATGAACAATTGCGAATATAGGTTTTTATACCCTCTCTCTTTTTAGAGGCAAGGTAGCATGCAAAGCACACTATATTTACCTGCTTTCTCACTTCACAATATGATTTGGAGATCTTTGTGCATTAATACTTGCAGAATGTCATTCTTATTTACAATGGCATAATATTCCATTGTGTGAATATAACATATAGTTTATTTAAATATTTTATTCTTAATATACATATGGGTTGTTTCCAATCTCATATATATATATATATATACATATATATATATATGGGCTCTATCCCACAACCCTGGGATCATGACCTGAGC